CGTCGTAGCCCGAAAAGAAAATTCTGTTCAGCGTAGAGTCGTAGGAGTTCAGACCTATGAGGGAGGGATGTGGTGAAAGGTATGATGAGGGGTGGGGGTGGGCGCACCAGTGGCGTTTTTGACCGATTCAACTCGGGGCGCATGGGTGCGAGGAAGCGATGGTCGAGGGTGGGGATCTAAGAGCTCGCCGTCGCGAGTCAAATCCCGCCGCATGTGCTGAAGCTTCCTCGTTTTTCTGTTCCTCGCTCCAGGCTTGCGCGGAATAGCCATGAGACCCAACGATCAACGGCCAGCGCGTTAACCGACCAACTGCCATGCGTTAACCGCCGCGGGCCTATGCAGTTGAAGTTCAACAAAAAAAAAATAGGTCAGCACGCACGGTTTGGGTTGCGGCACATCATCGCCCGCGCCGCGCAGCGATGAAATAACGTGATTCCCGGTACAATTTCAGGGCTGCGCTCGGCCAAGATATGCCAGGGCCGCTCGGATACCTAGCCGAGTTTTGTTAGGATTAGTTCGTTATGATGTTGTTGTTTTCTCTGGCGCTCGATGTAGGCGTCCTCTCGAGCGGCGGTGCGGTTATCCGCGGCGCGAAAAACAGGCTCCTGCTCGGGTTGCGGCCGCGGACCGTCGCTTCCGGCTCCTTTCGAGGGTTAGAGTCCCGCTTCACGGACGTTACACGAGCAGGGTTAGGGTTAGGGTTAGGGTTAGGGTTAGGGTTAGGGTTAGGGTTAGGGTTAGGGTTAGGGTTAGGGTTAGGGTTAGGGTTAGGGTTAGGGTTAGGGTTAGGGTTAGGGTTAGGGTTAGGGTTAGGGTTAGGGTTAGGGTTAGGGTTAGGGTTAGGGTTAGGGTTAGGGTTAGGGTTAGGGTTAGGGTTAGGGTTAGGGTTAGGGTTAGGGTTAGGGTTAGGGTTAGGGTTAGGGTTAGGGTTAGGGTTAGGGTTAGGGTTAGGGTTAGGGTTAGGGTTAGGGTTAGGGTTAGGGTTAGGGTTAGGGTTAGGGTTAGGGTTAGGGTTAGGGTTAGGGTTAGGGTTAGGGTTAGGGTTAGGGTTAG